TTTATATTTTTGAGATTGACTAAAATACAATAATAATTATGATTATTATTATTATAAATAATAATCATAATTATTATTATTATTATTATTATTATGTAATATTAATAATTTTGTTATTATTTAATCATAATTATAATTTGTTTCTTATTATCGTGTCATTTTTGTTTGATTTCCTTCTTCAAATTTTATTAAACGAAATACAGATATAGATTTGATTTTGGAGTGAAATATGACTCATACACATTCTCGACAAGCTTTTTGAGAATTATTAGATAGAATACTGGGAAAACATTAGTTCGATGATGTGTGTTACCATATATATCGTTTTAGATATAAACATTGCACAACAGAGAAACTACACACTGAGACACATCAGCAAATCAGCGTCTGCTTTCACAGGGTTTTGTGTTTGGGGATCTCCAGTCGAGCGATGGCATCGTGGAGCTGAGGTCGTCTCCAGAGAACCTGTGAAGGTCTGAGCTGACGTTTGGAGATTGAAAGTTTAAGTGAGACGTGAAATCCTCACTGCATGTCCCGTGTTTGCCAGCTCTTCTGCTTTCAGAGAACATCACACATCACAAACTGCGGGAGGTCAGAGGTCACGGGGACACGGCGGCCCGCTCTGCTGCAGCAGCAGGAAGTGACACGGGCGTCTCTGGGGGGCTATTTATAAACCTGCTGACCTTTTCTATCCGCATAGAGCGAGTGATTGACATGACACGTTATTGTGAGCCGCAGGAGCTACTGATCACCTGCGCTTCAGATCACAGCGCACTTCGACACAATAAATCACAATGAACAGATTCAGTTCTATAAGAAAATAAGATTTTATATTTTACTAATTATTGTTGTTGTTGCTGTTGTTGTTAGTAGCAAAATGATTTTTTTTTACCAAAGGCTATGATAAAAATACAATAATAATTACATAATTATAAATTATATATAATAATAATATAAAAAGAAATGATATTTTATATAATAATAATAATAATAATAATAAAGTAAAATGATTTTTACTCAGCTTTCATAATAAAATATTCATTGTTATGGTATTATTTGTATTTTAAGTGGAAATAGAAATACAAAGGAACTAAAGGAATTATTCAAACAGGTAACAGCACAAACACAGCCACAAAATCTGTGCTGAACACAGTTTGCACAGTCTGCGAGAAACTTGACCCTGACGTGACCTCTGACCTCAGGTGACCTCCACTGGTTCGTTGTCACCTAGGACTTACAATATTGTAGTAGTGTAGTGTAGCGTAGTAGGCAGTGATGTAAAAGCAAATATAAGGTGTTGTCACTAAAATAAGATAATCTGAAATGCAGCATGAGTCCGATGTGACACACAGTGTGAGTGTTGTGATGTCTGTCCTGTGCAGCGGCAGGCAGTCAGACCTGTGTGTCACTGCAGATCAAGTCCCGTCTGGTTGTCTGATTTAATTGATAAAGCCCATTTTCAACCTCCATTAGTAGGCCAGCCAAAATTCCTGAATTCAGCGTTCAGGCTTTGAAGAGCTCGTTCCCTCCACCCGCCAGCGGCCGCTTTCCCTCTGTCTCAACAGAGCTCACTGGAAGAATCCCAGATTTTCAAGGAATTTCTTCAGTGAAATCCAATCTGAAAGCAGAGGGAGGGTCTGCCACAGAGCACAGACACTTTAGTATATGAATCTGGCAGGACACAAATGTAACATTTACAGTTAATATCTCATAATTAATGTGACAAAGCACTATGAAAATGTTGGATGCAACCAGAAAATTGATCATCAATTATAATATTATGCATAATTTATTGCATAAAATGATTTTTTTTAAATTACATTTTTTACAGAAGAAAACGTGAGAGGAGATTGCCATTGCATGGCTTTGAGTGTAAGTTTATACAATTTTTTTAGCCAGTTTAATTGTAGAAAGAAAAAAAAAAAGAAGTATAATTATTAAATAATAATAATAATAATGTTATATGTATATTTAACAACAAAACAAAACAACAACATTAATAACAATAATAATAATATAATAAATTAAATTATTAAATAAAACAATTTAGTTATATTATTATTATTACCTTATATAATGTATATGATGTTATTAAGTAAGAAATAATATTGTTATAATTATAATAATAATAATAATTATTATTATTATTAATAATATATAATATTCTTCTTCTTGTTGTTTTAAATGAAAGTATATTAATAACATGGTTAAATTCTTATCACCAATAACAATTATTATTATTATAGAAAAATGCAATAACAACATTATTACCATTGTTGTTGTTATTGTTATATTTTAGTTCTAATAATAATAATGATTTATTATAATTATTGCTAATTACTGTTTAATAATAATAATAATAATAATAATAATGTTATATTTGAATTTAACAACAATAGTAATAATAATATTATTAATAAATAAAAAGATAATAATAATAATAATAATAATAATAATAATAACTTGAGCAAGAATTGTTTTTTTTTAAATATGATAATAATTATGTTTTTATAATTGTTGTATTTTTTTTATTTACTAATAATAATTATAAACCTTTACGATAATAAATGTTTAGTTTATTTTCATGGTTTTATTTTTATTTGTGCTGGGAACAGAATTGCATTTTTGTAATTTTATTTTATTTTTATTTATTTTATTTGTTATTTTTTGAAGGATACAAGAGCTGGTGGGGAATTTCAGGCTTGACCTCCTGATTGTCTGGGAGTTTTGGCTGAACAATGGCAAGCTCACGGCCTCCATGCTGTGAAGTTCGCCCAGCTTTCGTTCTCAACCCACTTCTTTTAAAACTGAAGGGTGGCAGGAGGAGGAGGTGTACAGACGTGGGCCTGTAGAGAGAGTCGGCAAAATGGCTGGGTGGGAGCGAGTTGGGGGGCATCTGTTTGTGCATTGTATGTGTTTCCCGAGTCAACAGTAGAGGAAATGAACGCAGCAGCTAAATATACAAACATCACAATGAGCTAGCGAATGCAGCTGCACGCGAGAAGGCTAATGCAATGAATATAATAGCAGATGAAGACAGCCAGCGGATATGAGGATCTGGTAACGAGTGCGAACGGATAGATAGACGGATGGACAGTTTGATGACGCTGAACTGGAGGTCAAGGAGAGAGCGGAGAGTCAGGTGAATAAAGTGCTATGCAATCGGTTGCTAACACCCAACTCTTCTCAATGTGACACTGTGTTGAGGTGTTTGTATGCGATCATCATAGCAGCGGGTCATGAGGGAATTACCGTTGAAGGCTGGAGGAGAAAACGGGAAGCCGTTCTGATGTTTTTTTTCCTCTAACTGGTGTTAATGTGGACCCGGGGTTCTGGATTCGACCCAATGATCATAGAGAGACACAGAGCTTCACTGTATGCCTCGACCTGGACAGAATCATCATTACCACTGCAGCTGTCTGCAAGAAAACATCCACAATTAGTCGTTTGCTCAATTTCTTTCTCCCCCTATATTTACAAATCTAAACACGGCAAATAAGCGTGAGAGCGCAATCCCATAAAAGCACCAATGGGAGTGGAAAGTTCTGCGGCTGATCTAATAACAATATGTGAATTAAAGAACACAGATGCAGCCAGCGCATTTCCATAATGATCATCACAATCCACCAAGACTAGTGC